GGATGAGCGGATTTGTATCGAGTGCCTCTTAGGTGCAGAGTTTTGAGCTAGTGTTTATTGGGGTTGCTAGGAAGAATAAGATACGTTCCTCAAAGGACTGAACATCTCACTGAGAAGTGAAGACACCTATCCATGGAACAAAATAAGTGTTCAAGGCTGTAATCAAGTACTGGGTTGTTGATGCAGACAGACCCTCTATAGCTGAGATGGTCAGAGTGGGCTACAAATCTCCAGATTCCATGGGCAGGAGGCTCACATAGCAGGCCGACTCACCTTGAACTCACTGAGCACTAAGAATTTGCAGATAAAAATATTAGACTGCCCTTTGCTTCCATTTCTCTCTTATATCCCCCTAACCTTTTTTAGTTCTTCTATGCACATGATACTTATGTTTAAAGGGAATTATAGCAGCTTCTCTTTCAGGTTAGTCTAGTTCCCTTAAAAAAAAAATCAGGTCAAAATCACCAACAGTTCTGCCCTCATGAGGCATACAGACTACTGGAGGAGAAAGTCATAAATCAGTTACACAAATAAACTCCACTGTGCTGAATGTTACAACAGAAAGCATAGCACATATTAGGGGGACTTGACCTTGTCAGAGAAGTCAGGGACAGCTTCCTAGAAGGACAGGTGGCTGTACTGAAATCTGAAGGATGAGGAGGGATTGGTTAATAAGGGGAGGGAAGTGGGAAAAACATCCCAAGCAGGGGGTATAGCCATGGGGAATAACAGACAGTTAGAAGAGAGATGACTTAGAAGGTCACACAAACCTTGAGGCATATTAAGGAGTTTTCTTTTTATTCTAAGAGTAACAGGAAGTCTTTAAAAGAATTAAGCAGTAAAATGAGAGGAGGAAAGGGGATGGGTTATAATCAGATTTCCATTTCAGCAGGGTCACTCTGCCTATTGTGTTACCAACATTTGGAGGGAGGACTGGAGTGGACTGCATTAGTAACAAGGCACTTGCAAGAATCTAGATGAGATGACAATTGCTTGGGCCAGAATGGTGGTCATGATTGTGGTGAAGATGAAGAGAAATAGACAAATGTAACAGGAACCACAGAGATATGTGCAGAGGTACAGTAGGTAAAGTGACGGGGTGATGGATAGAAGGGAAAGGGACAGTGAGTTACAAAGGATGACTCCAGGTTTCCAACATAAAATTGGCCGAAGAGTGAAGCCCTGCCCTGAGACAAGCAACCCTGGATAAGGATCAGTTTGCTGGGAAAGATGGAGTCAGCTTTGGACACATTGGCTTTGAGTGCCTTTGAAGCATCTAGAGGGAGATGTCAGAAACCCAGCTGGGTACGTGGGTCCGGTGTTTGGAGCAGAGGCCTAGGATGGAGATCTAAGTTTGTGAGTCATCTGTGAAGAGAGGTGCACTAGAAACTGTGGGTATGGTTGAGATCCCGCAACTACAGAAGGAGAAAAGTGGAGAGCCTAGAGCCCAGCCTTGTGGGATTCCAACATTTAATTGCCAGGGAAAGGAAAGCCTCCAAGAGAGGCAGAAAAAACCCAGACAGAAGCATAGGGAGACACTAGCCTGAAAGCCAAGGGAAGCAAATGTGCTAGAAGAAGGTGGTCAGGGGAGAAAGCTATTGAGAGGTCAGAAAAAATGAAGACTCAATAATGATAATAATAAAACAGCTATAATACTGTCAATAACAATAGTCACGGACAGTCTTCATGGAGGACCAATTATGAGCCAGGTATTTTAACATATAATTTAATCTTCATAAGAAGTCTATAAGGCAGGTCCTATTATCACTCTCATTTTTACAGATCAGAAAACTGAGCACAGAGAGATGAAGTCATTTGCCTGAGATCACACAGCCAGTAAGTGATGAAGTTGGAGTGGGAGCTCTTCTTTCTCACTCCACAGCCCCTGTCTTTAAATGCTGTGTGTCCTGTGTTGGTAGAATAAAAAGCAACCAGGTGGGGAGGGGAGGTTTTTCCCCTTTAGAGATGTGGATTCTTTCAAACCGAGTCAGGGAAATACTCCATTGTTGCTACAGCCCAAGTGCAGGGTTGGTGACAACAGAATGGGCAGGGCAACAGGAGTTTCTGGTGGTGTGGTTCAGCTAGACTAGGGCAGTGTTCAATGAATGATGCGGCTGGACTTGCCGTGTGAAAGGCTTGCCCCAAGTACTCGAGATCAGAGGTTCTCAAAGTGTGGTCCCTGGACCAGCAGCAGTATCAACACCTGGGAACTTAGCAGGAGTTTCTGATGGTGTGGTTCAGCTAGACGAGGGCAGTGTTCAATGAATGATGCGGCTGGACTTGCCGTGTGAAAGGCTTGCCCCAAGTACTCTAGATCAGAGGTTCTCAAAGTGTGGTCCCTGGACCAGCAGCAGTATCAACACCTGGGAACTTACTACAGAAAGATTTTCAGGCTCTACCCCGATCTTCTGAATTGGAAACTCTGGGTGATAGGCTATATTAGTCCATTATTATTACCTGAAACTGGGCAATTTTTGAAGAAATAAAATTGATTTCTTACAGTTTTGGAGGCTGGGAAATCTATGGTCCAAGGGGCATATCTTGTGAGGGCCTTCTTGGTGGTGACTCTCCAAAGCAACACAAGGTATCACATGGCAAGAGAAATGGGCTGAGCAAGAGAGCTAACCTCTTAACCTCACTTGCTCTCCTTTTAAAGCCATCAGAATAATGCCCATGACAACCCATTAAAACATCAACCCATTACTTCATGAATGGATCAATCCATTAACTGAGGGCACAGTCCTCAGGATCCAATCACCTCTTAAAGGCCCAACTTCCACCACCACATTGGGGGTTAAGTTTTAACATGAGCTTGGTAGGATGTTCAATCCACAGCAGGGGCGCAGGAATCCACGTTCTAACAAACCCTTTTGTGATTCTGATGTCCAGGTTTAAGAACCCTTCTTCTTGGGGGAATCCTTAAAAAGACAGAAATAAAGACTGGAATAATTTATAGTCCTTTTATTGCACAGATGCAAAATACCTCAACAGGGACCAGTGGATGAGAGTCAGTGGTTCTCAGCCCTGGCTGCAGTTTGGAATCATCCAAGGAGCTTTAACAACTACCGAGGCCTGGGTCCCACCTGCAGGGATGCTGATTTCCTTGGGCTGGGTTTGGCCTGAGCATTTGATTTTTGAAAGGAGAATCTAAATGGAGAATGGGTGGTTGGGTGAATAGTCAGCAAGGCAGCTCATGTACTTCTGAGTGCAAAACTGTACTCTGGGGAGAAAAGGAGGCAGGCCTTGAAGGGGAGGCGCAAGACAAATGGAAGAGAAACTAGACCCTAGGCCCTTTGTGAATTCCAGTGAAGCTGGGATAATTTTGGAGATTGTGGTGGGGGAGAAGGACTTACTTTCAAAGAGATGCCAGTAATAAAGTAGATGTGCTTCATAAATAAAGAAGTATTACTGGTAAATTTTGCTCAATCTTAATGGAAAACAATATGCTAAAATCCTCCTGGAAGCTTCACTTAGACTATATCTGTATGTTAAGAATGTACTCTGCCCCTCTGGCCTCTCAAACCTCACCGTTTTCTTTGTGAACCTTCCTCCCCAGCAGGTCTGTTCAGTTTACTGGCCCCTGCACGCTCACTGTGTTCCCACATCCAGCATTGGTTCCTGCCTCCCCCACCCTCTCTTTCTGTCAAAGCCTAGCTCCATCTAGAATCCTCCATAGCCCTCCAGGTCAGAGAGCTCCCCTTTCTCTGAAGCCTTAAACCTTGTGTTGTTAATGCACTGTGCTATTTTGATTTTATTCTGCTCATTCCCCATGGAATGTAAGCCCCCCAGGGCTGTGATGACTTGTAATTCTTTGCCCCGCTGCTAGCACCACATGCTAGGAGCTCAGTACATAATAGTCAAGAAACTCTGCAAAAGTGATTTTCAGTTCGTCCTCTCCCCACATTATCATGGATTGCAGATGAGAAGGCGCCACCCCCAATGAGGTATGACTGTGGTCTGACCATTCTGAAGGCTGCCCTGATGGAAGATTCCATAGGAGTCCTAGAAGGAACATCTCCAAAGTATAAGTGGCCCTCACAGGCAATGGGGGTCTCACAGTCTCATTATTCCATGTTACAATTTATTACTTTCCTAGGACTAACTTGGTAGCTTAAGACAATAGAAATTTATTCTCTCACAGTTCTGGAGGCCAGAAGCCTGAAACTAGCATCACTGGGCCAAAATCAAGGTGTTGACTGGGCTGTTCTCCCTGCAGAGTCTCTGTTCCTTGCCTCTTCCAGCTTCTGGTGGCTGCCTGCATTCTTTGGCTAGTAGCTGCGTCACTTCAGTCTCTGCCTCTGTGGTCACACTGCCTCCTCGTCCTTTCTCAAATCACCCTCTGACTCCCTTTTATAAGGACACTTGTGATTATATTTAAAGCCACCCTGGTAATTCAGGATAATCTCCCCCCAGTCTCTGCCTCCGTGGTCACACTGCCTCCTCGTCCTTTCTCAAATCACTCTCTGACTCTCTTTTATAAGGACACTTGTGATTATATTTAAAGCCACCCTGGTAATTCAGGATAATCTCCCCATCTCAAGATACTTAATCTTATCTGCAAAATCCTTCTTGCCATATAAAGTAAAATTCACACATTCTAAGGATTAGGACCTGGATATCTTTTGTAGGATAATTATTTGACCTACTGCACAGATAAAGGTAACTGGAGCCTCCAAAAGGGCAGAGACCTGTCCAAGGCCACACTACAAATCAGTGGCAAATCAAAGACCCAGGTCTCCTTTCTGTCAATTTTAGGCTTCTTCCGCTAGATCAAGCTGATGCCCACAGAAGTAAGATGGAGAAAGAGATGTTAAAATATCACTTTATATCCTAAACTGTGTGCTTTTCTCACCTGTCGTCTTTCTGGATCCCAGGCTACCAGCATTCGCCCGTCATTGAGCCTTCTTCCCCTTGAGTCCTGGTCATCTCTGACCTGGGGCTGGCCTCTGTGGGCAGCTGCTGTGAAATGACCTCCATGGCATTTTCTTCTCTCCTTTCAGGACCGCCTCTTTTTCGTCATGGAATATGTAAACGGTGGAGACCTCATGTTCCAGATTCAGCGCTCCCGAAAATTCGATGAGCCCCGTTCCCGGTTCTACGCTGCGGAGGTCACGTCAGCCCTCATGTTCCTCCACCAGCATGGGGTCATCTACAGGTAGCCTGTTCTCTCCTCCTCTCCTTCCTGAAAGTGAAAAAAGCAAGGAGCTCTGCAGACACTTGGACTGACTGTGGCTCCTGCCCAACTGGTCTCTTAGCAGCCCACTTTAGACTGGTTGTTTGTTTTAATTTGCTTACAGAGGACTTTTTTGGGGGCTGTTTATCACTGTGAACGTTGATATTTGAATGGCCCCAAGAGATCTGACCCACTGTTTGTGCCAGTTAAAGCTCAAGCATGACATTTTAAAGGCTTGGCGCCGAGCACCCTTGGGGTGACCTTCATTTCTCTCTCCCCACCCTCTTCCTTGAACATCGAGGTACTCTCTTTTTCCTTCTGTGCCATGAACTTCCTCTCCTCCCCAATCTCTTGCCACTTCCTGAGTTTGTTTGGCTTAGTCGTCTCCAGGAGATAGAATCAGGGAAGGAGGAGTTGCTGGGGGGTCCGGGGGTTTATGATCTGGGGTGGGGGGTGGGAACTAGACAATATCCAACAGGAAGTGACTTTTTGCCGATCATCTAGTCCTTTATTACTGCCCAGTCCCCTTCCAAGAAACACTCTCTCTCTCTCTCTCTCTCTCTCTCTCTCTCACACACACACACACACACACACACTCACTCACTCACACACACACACTCACACACACACGCTAATTTTCCAGTAAGGGAGCAAAACTATTTACGCAAGCTCTTCTGTGAGGTCAGGAATTCTGGGAGGAGTAAATATTTAAAATTAGCAACAAGGACACTAAAGTTCCTTAAAGTTTTTTCAGTAACTGTCAATTTCCTTACTCAGACTTTGCTTCCTCCTCTTTTTTTTTTTTTTTTTTTAATTGGGTGAAAGAGTTTATCCCAGAATTTAGTCACTCACCTAAACTTTTCTGACCTGCTTCTGGGAGCAATGCCTTGACTAAGGGTTCTAGTGAACTCCACCCTAGGCTTTCCTTCCTTCTGCCATCTCTTAGCTTCCTAAAGCAGGCCTCGCTAGTCAGTGGTTCACATAATAAAGCTCACACTTTTTAGCCGGCTATTCCTGGACCTCCACAATGGGAGTCCATGTATTATTTCCTAGAGCTGCGTAACCAGTGACAACAAACTGAAAACAACACCCATTGATTATCTCCGTGTCCATGGGTCAGGAATGCAGGCAAGGCCTATCTAGGTCATGCCCAGGTTCTCACAAGGTTGTGGTTGAGGTGTCAGCCACACTGCATTCTCATCTTAGGTTTGGGCTCCTCTTCCGAGCTCATGTGCTTGTTGGCAGAATTGTTTTCCTTGCAGCTTTAGAACTCATGTGGCTTGCTTCTTCAAGGCCAGCAGGAGAGAAAGTTTCTCCTGCTTCAAGTCTCTAACTTGAGGGAAGGCCTGGATCTTCTTATAAAAGATTCTAATCAGGCTCACAAAGATAATTTTCCTGTTGATAAACTCAAAGTTAAATGATTAGGGGCCTTAATGATATTTGCAAAATCCCTTTGCCCTTGCCGCATGCATCATGTCACATAATCACAGTAAGTGATATCACATCACCTTTGCCATATTCTGTCAATTACAAGTAAATCACAGATTCCACCCTACTCAAGGGAAGAGAACTGTGGGATTATACCAGGGCATGAGGCATTGGGGGACAACTTGTTTTGAGCCCACCAAATTTCTTAGCTTTCTTCAAACTCACCAGGCCACTTTCTAACTTTGCTATGCTTATGCCCCCCTCCATGCTTGTGGACCTCCCCTGTCCAGCCCAGAATCCACATGCAACACTGCCTACCTGCAGGAAACCTAGTCCCATCAGTAGCGTGAGCCTCTCCGTCCCCCACACTTTCATTTACAAATGAATTGCAATTTGAGACTTTCATTGCTGCACCTACAACTGTTCACCTTGCATTGGATTAGGCATCTTTGTGAATCCTTCACTAAGTTGCAAACTCTCTTAAGGGCCATTTCTTCTTTTTTTAAACCCTTGATCTTCTTTTATTCTTACTCTGCATGCTCTTCTTGTCTTGCACATAGTAAATATCAACATATGACCACTGGCTTCAGTTAGTTTCAAACCCCAATCCCTGTTCCCAAAGCAATCTGTGAGCTAGATAGAGATGCAGGAGTTGAATATGTGAAAATATTATTCATACAACAAGATAGTGCATTGTAGTCAAGGCAGTGCCAGTGACAAGAAGAACTGCCGTTCCTTGAGACATCATCCCTGCACCATCCCAGTTACAGTAGGTACAATCATCCCCATTTTACTAGCAGGGATACAGAGACTCACCTCGAGTAATTTTTCCAAGGACATGCTTGGTAAATGACAGACACAGGAAGTGTAACTGACTGACCATCTTGTGCTGTACACCATGACACTTATTACCCTGCCTTTTCAAGTCCAGCTTCAAGCTCTTTAGCTTGTCATTCCAGGTACTGCAAAACTTGACCTTCCCTTACATTTTTGCTTTCCTAACTGAATGATTTCCTCTCACCACACCTGTGACCGCTCTTGTCTATTGGCTTCTATGAATCATTCTCTGTCCCTATCTCTCTCCTTCCCTTCTCCCTGACCATTTCTCCTTGATCTCTGTATTGATTAGTGGGCCTGTTCCCTCCCTGCCCCCATTCTCTAAGTGCTGGTTTTCTCCAGAGCCTTCAACCCTCTTTATTCTTACCCTAAATATTCTCCCTGGGCAAGTTCAGTCTCCCATGGCTTTCAATGACTCTTGTATGCCAGTAACTCCCATAGATCAATATCCAGTCTTCCTCTAATCTCGCCTTCTCAAACTTGGACCTGCAAGGTCTTCTTCTCTTTTTCCCTGGCTAGTTTGCAATAATTTACTGAATGTTTGCAATAGTTTACTGAATTGACTCACTCACTCCTTCGAGAAATCTTCTTGAGCAAATTGTGGAACCACTCTGTGACTGGTTTCCATTTCTGAAGTTCAGAAAATATCTTCTTTGTCTTCTTATGAGAGGGGTTGCTAGAAGTCAGATTGTGGGAGAGGACACAAAAACAAGTAGGAAATGACAAGGCATTTTATTTATATAAAGTATCATGAATGATTAACATTTGTCATTTTGAGCACTAAAATTTTGTCTTTATCCATCAGAGGTGGATGTTGTAAGTTACAAAGCTCTCCTGCTCCTTAAATTCTCCAAGCCTTTCAATCTTTAATGAGCCATCATCATTATTCCCCAAGAGTCAGTCTTCCCTGGTGCCTGTCATGTGCCCAGTGCCAGAACTGGGCAGTGGGGACACAAGAGGAGAGAGGGAGCTGCTGCCTTGGTCCGGCCAAGACCCCTCTGTACTCAGGAGGTGTTTAGAGAGACTTTCTAGACCATGTTGTCTATAAAAAATCAAATAAGAATTAAGAGCAGGGAACAAAATTTAGTGAATAAAATTCAGCGTACCATATAAACTTTAGTCTTAAATATTCTGTTCTTTCCAGAGCCGGAGGACAAAGGCCAAAAGGAGGGGCTTAGGAGGAGTTTTCCTAGAAGGAGCTGGGGATATACTGAGGTCTCCAGCTGTGCTCTCCACACCGGGCCTCCCTGGAAAACGCATTCAGAGTTCTGATATAAACTATGGTCTTGTTGTCCTCCTAGTCGAAGAGTGAAGTGTGTGTCTTGATCCCTGGAATTATCTCCTTGATCCCTGGAATCATTGGCACAGTTAGGGATTCCCTGACTTGATGAAGGTGTCCAGTTAAACCTTCATTAATAACTGGAAGGTCTAATGTTTACAGTCTCATCTCCTTTCAGTACATGTTGAGGTTATTTATTTAAAGCTAATGCAAAGCAGGGGAGGAAAAGGAGGTGGAGTGATCCCTTCCTTTTGCCTGCCCAGTCTTCTAACACCTGACCCACAGAGAGTCACTGAGGGCACTTGGGGATCATCTTCCCCACAGAGCCTTGCTCTCAGCTGTCAGCATTCCCACACCTGTTGTAGAAAATGATACTTTAATATGAAAGTCCTGAGCATCTAAGGGCTAAGTCTCTAATGGGAAGGTATCAGCTACCCTGGTGGGAATGATGAATGTTAGGGATGGCCCCGGAGACTATATGATCCAACTCCTTTGTTTTATAGATATGGAACTTGGAGGCCAAAATTGGGCAGTATTTCACCCAAGTTTGCACAAGGAGATAGTATACAGGGAAGGGAGGTGCAGAGAAAAGAAGAGAATCTGGGTTTATAACTGCTTTTTCAACCAAATCTCTATTTTATCTCTCTCCACATCACCATCTCCAGAGGTAATTGTTACTGCTTACTTCTGAGCTTTGGGGGAGGGAAATGGAATGCTGCAAAGTAAATTTGATTGTTCATGATTCCCCCCATTGCTGGTTCAGGATTCAGCTTTCTTTTTTTTTTTTTTCCTTTTTTTTGTCTTTTTTCGTGTCCGGCAACGGATCGCAACCCTCAGTGTCGCACCCGTACCGGACTGGGACCGGCAACGGGATCGCAACCCTCAGTGTTGTGGCCGCCCCTCGCTCAGCCAGTGAGCGGGAACCGGTCTGTATGTGGGATCCGAACCCTCGGCGGGAGCGCCGCTGCACTCCCAAGCAGCGCACTGTAGCAGTGCGCCACCGGGCCGGCCCCAGGATTCAGCTTTCTTGGATCTACCGAGTCGTTTACTACTCATCCACTGCTTTCCAGCTTCCAAAATCGTGTTGCTATTGTTTTTCTCTCTTTCTCTCTATCTCTGACTGTAATTTTGGGAAGGAGAGAAAAGTAGTTGTGGGTATTTAATCAAACCTCTGTATCCAGAAGTCAATAATAATAACAACAACAATGACGGCCATAGCAGCAGCAACAACGGTAATAATACTTATTGAGCCTTTGTTATGCGCCAGATGCTATTCTGAGCACTTTGCACGTATTAACTCATCTAATCATCATACTAACCCTATGAGGTAGATACTGTTATTATCCACAGGATTTATGATCTTTCCAAGGAAGGAGATCTTGCCAGATCCCACCACCTTCACTGCCACTGTCAGGTCCCCCTGTCCCTGTTGCTACCG